TATATATATATATATATATATATATATATATATGTGTGTGTGTGTGTGTGTGTGTGTGTGTGTGTGTGTGTGTACACACACACATACACACACATACATACATATATATATATATATACACACACACACACATACATACACGCACACACACATCTTTAACTTTTAGCATTATTTGCTATGTTTACGGGTATATACAGTTTTTCACTTTACTATATTTTCTAGGTACTTTTTATGTATTAATTTTTTGTCTAATTTCTAGCGAACTGTACCACCTATTTCAGATCTTATAGTATTCTGTTTCCTCTCTATCTTTTAATTCCATCGTTAATTTATTCATTTCTGCACAGTTGAGCACTTTTTTTTAAATTATCATTGCATTTGAAGGAATGTTTTCTTGTTTCCAATTCTGAGCAAAAGTAATTTTGGCTGTGGTTATTATATGGAATATGATATATTGAATTTCTTTGCTTAGGTTTCTCTTTATAATCCCCAGTAGAAACAGTTCTGGTTTCATCTCTACTTTTTGTTCCCTAATTTCTTCTAACCATTTTTTTATTTTCATCCAATATTTATTAGTTTTTGGGCAGGTCCACCACATATGGTAGAATGTCCCTTGTTCATGATTGCATCTCCAACAGTTTGCCAACATATTAGGAAACATTTTGGCCAATCTTGCCGGGGGTAAATGCCAACGCTAAAACATTTTGTACATGTTTTCCTTATAAGCTGCTGACATCATCAGTATATAATTTTTCTCCCATAATTTTTCCCGGTGTTCCAATTCAATGTTGTATCCAAATTTTTTGCCCCAAATTATCAGTCTCTTTCATTGTTTCCTCTTCCATTTTAAATTTTAAGAAACAGTTGTATGCTTTAGTTATCATTTTTCTTCTGTCCCAAATGAACAGTATCTCATTGAGACAGACTCTGGATGATAATTTGTAGAGTCTGCACACCTATGTAATGATAATAGGCCTTCCAATAGCAAAAAGGAATATATGTATATAAGCTTTCAAAATGTGTTGAAATCTATAAAATAAAAGCTAGTTTATAGATTGTTGGGGATCTGGAGTAATAAAAATTAAATTAAGAAGTGGTAATACAAAAAACACAATGTCCTATACTGACAAAAGATAAATCAGTAGGCTTAATTCTAAACAGCTCCCTCCAAATTCTTCAAGACAAAGAGACTGCAATCAATAAACTGAGGAGCAAATTCTGTGTGATTTGCCCATTTTCCCCTCCCCCAAACAAGGAACTAACAATACTTTAAACATATACTGCTTTTTTTACTTTACCTGGTATTGATGAATACTAGTTGTTCATTTTAAGAAAAGGCTACAGAAGAGCACAAATCCATAATAAAGCTAATCCTGCCCCCTGGTGGAAAACGCATTATCTAACTTGAAATAAGTATTTATATTTACAAGATACACAATCTTGAATTTAAAATGCACCTTTCTCCTGCCTCCCAAATCTTATTGTTCCAGGTTCATTTATCATCTGTTATTTTTGATAAACTTTATTTCTTAAAATATTCATCTACTTTTACTGGGGAAATTTATTCTCCTTTACAAAGTCAGCAATAGTGTAGTAGGCAAACTGAGTGTCCTTTAGGCAGGTTTCATTTGAAGCTGTGAGCATATTTTCTCCCTCAGCTCAAAGTTGAATTTTCTGGGGATAATTCTAAAAATCATAGATTGAACAGAGCAGATACAAATATTTTACTGAATATAAATACCTCTGGAACTGCAGCTTCCATTAGGGAAAGAGGAGGAGGGACACATCCACCATCTTGTGCAATTTCCAATGGTTGATAAGTAATTTCAGAAGGATGAAGGTAAAAGAATGAAGTAGGAGAAGCAGGTGACTAAAAGAAATAAGACAAAAACTGTGGATAATTAATATGTAAATCATATAATTCAACTACATTAGGAAATTAATGTAAACTTCATTATTACTTTGATTACATTTTATATATACATAAATAAAATGTCTCCACAAAATTGAAAAAGCCCTATTTTGAAATAATTGAAAAATCTATGCCAATAAAAGTAGATTTAGTCAAAAAGATTTACAATATATCTCAATATGGTTAAAACATTTTGGTTAGAATATTTTTTTCTCCTTGTTTGTTTTCCAGCTACTTCAACGTTTTTCTTTTTTTTTTCACCAGTCAACCTTGTTCTGACATGCAAAACATGACTATCCCATACAAAAGTTTCATTTATAGCATGGGTTTCTCTGACTTATGCAGAAAATCAACAAAAAAGTTAGAAGATGAATCCCATTATTCATTCAGCAATTTCATATCATCATAACCCTGTTATGGAGTGCTGCTTTCTAGCACCAGTCTATGGCAACTGCTTTCTGAGCAACTCACAAACCAAGCAAGACACAGAAAGCTGATTTTCTTTCAAAGTCCTCCAGTATGCATATTTTATTATGCCTTAATTTTAAATAAGTATAGAGCCTTTCCCTACTACTGAATTGAAGTGCTATCTGTTCATAATTCAGCTGGCAGACAAGCTACACTAACATTATATTTGCTCTTTCCACTGCTGCTACCATTGTTGATGCCTCTATTTCAACTCACAGATTCCTCTCCAAGGTAATGCAGTATTCTGGACATTTTTCTTAAAACATCAGTATAATTTAAAGACTTTAAATCTATCACGCTTATCAGCTGAACAAAGTGAAGGCAATGACATGGAACGCAACAGAAAAATGATTTTACCAGGGCGTGCATGTATAGTGAATGGGAAAGGCACATAATTTGAGCTGTGAATTAAATCTATTAATAACAACTATGTGCCTTAAAAGTTATTTCAGAATGCTTGAAATTCCATAAAGACGGTGCTTTAGTAATTTGTAGTAATTGTTATAAAACCTTTTTTAAAATCCTATTGAGCTATTATTTAATAAAGATTGCATACTTTCTTTAAAAATGGTATATTTTGAAAAAATATGTGCATGCATAAATGTGTGCAAATAGCTCTTAGTTTGAATAGCTTACTTTAAAAGGTTCTATTTTTCAACTTTCTTCTCCATGCAAGTAGTCCATTTTCTATCTTCCAAAATATTATAAGCAATTAAAAAGCAATCCAAACTCTACGACATTTGATTAGTGTCAGCTAAAATGCACCAAACAATAGAGAATGCAATGTTTTTCCATACAAATAAAATGTCTTTCAATTATTTGGGGGAAGTTTTAAGGTCAAAATAGCTGGGTTCTAATCACAGAACACTATTTGACCTTGAAACATTCCTAAATTCAAATGGTTTGATTCAAAATATGATCCATATCCTTACATTCTATGTTACATTTGTTAATAACATTTTTTTTAAAAAAATCTTGAAATGATACAATCTTTCTCAATACAACATGTGAATTCATCTGTCAGAGATTCACTGAAAAGTGGGTGACTGAGGAACTTAGCACATTATCAACCTTAATTCTTATAATCAGTTGCCAGGAATAATCAGAAAACTATGTGGTGTTTTCAACATGATACATCAAAATCTTGTTTGTAACTATGATTTCAACGAACTATACTTAGTGATTACTCAATCATAAAAAGTACTAATAACTAATAATAAATACTACCGTATTTTTGTTCTTTTGTAAGAATTTCATATGGAGATTAAACAGAATAGCAAAATGTGGGAAGGAGATTGAAAAATATTTCAACTTACCTGGGGAATACTCCACTGCCACTGTCCAGGAAGACATTGTGCAGGAGCCTAGGATAGATAAAAACATTTTTTGTTAATACTCTTTCTAATCAAAATTCTAAAGCAATGTATACTATACATACAGGCAATCTTGACCATATGTTTAATGACCTGGAGATCATTAATGTAATGGAGATGCTGAAAAAACTGACTTACAACTGGTCATCACATAACCATTGCAGCATCCTGTCATGCGATCATGATTCGGACACTAGGTAACTGGCATATATCCAGGACCATATGATCACCATTTCCTAGCTGGCTTCTGACAAGCAAAGTTAATGAGGGAAGCTGGATTAATGATGTGATTTGCTTAATAACCATGGCAAAAATGGTCATAAAATCGGGTGCAACTCACTTAAGGACTGCCTTGCTTAGCAATGAAAGTTCCAGTCCCAATTATGGTCATAAGTCAAAAACTGATAATACAAACTTTAAATAAAATAAACATTGAAACCATTACAATTAATAAAAAAGCTAAAATACTATTAATCAATAACATACAAATGGAATACATTCATAATTTTTCAGTGTTTTTGTTACATAAACAAAAAGAAGTGTAATTAATGATTTCCCTTATTTACAATCATATTGAACAAATGCAATCTTTCATTGTTACCTGATAGTGATATGTTGGTTGTTGATAAATTGGTTGAGCTAACATCACAGGAGAACTAGAAATTGAGCGTGACTTTAAAAAGAAGAAAATAACATCAATTAGTATTTTGCAGAGATGGAAATTACCTGTAGGCACATGGTGAGTCAATGTCTTTCTAGCTTTGGCTGGTTAGCAAGACAGTTTTTGCAAGGGAAATAAATGCTAGATCCGAGCTGGCAAAATCTCTCTGGAACAAGGGAGAGATTTGTGGTGATCATTGATATGACTCTGTATAGCCACTCATGTGTAGATCATGAAATTGCAGTTTTTATGGTTGGCTTATGAGTAGACTGGCGGGGATTCAGGATTACATCAAGCTCACACTCATAAACCAGACTTTATGGATATCACATTTGACAGGATCTTATATCTTAAATCACTTGGTTTTTAAAAATTGTTTGTATATTAGAGAGTGTAAAACCTTCAGATCAGCAAGGTATTATTGTATTCATCAGCTGAGTTTTTATCCCTTTAAAAGATGGTGTAAATTTGACTTTAAAAGTTGTAAGGATACTAGATAGATTTTGGAAGATTAATAATTAAGGGGACAGAGGACTTAGAATTATAGTTTTGAATTATTTCGAATATATTTTCTGATGGGAAAATGTAGATTGCGTTGATTGTTTTTTAATGATAAGGAGACCTGGAAGGTTGGACTATACAGGGCGGGGCATAACCTTTTCCTAGGGGGTCACAGCAACACTTGTAATAACAACACAAATAATTCATACACCATTCGAAAGCCCATCAAAAACTGAGTTTATTGACACGATTTAATAGTCAGTATGACCACCATTAGCCCTTCGAACAGCATTCAAACGAGGTGGATAAGAACACAACAAATCTTCAAACAGTTCCGTTCGATTTTCCAGATTTTTCAACACAGTTTCCAAATTCATTCTCAAAGTTTCAACCGAATATCGATTTTGACCTTGCTCCTGAATCATCAGAGCTTCCACTTCATCCTTAATTATGGCCCCAATGTTCTCTGCCGGATTGAGATCTGGCGAATTTCCCGGCCAGACGTCATTGCCCCAAAATTCGACATTGTTTTCCTTTAACAATTGCTGAGTCGCATTTGCACGCATGCAAGGAGCTTTGTCATGAAGAAAGACAGCCTCACCAACCACCAAGACATTGTCTGGATCACTGAGAAATGGAATGACATTCTCCAATAAAATTTTCTCACGGAAATAACTGCCATCCCAGGATTCCCCTTTATCCTTCAAAACCCAATGCAGTTTCTTGGCTGTGAAAATGACGAAAATCCCGATGCAAGTCGGATTGCGAACGATTTGTCGATATCGTTCATGTTTGGCGATGTCGTCGACGTCTTTAGCCCAAATTCGATCGTTCTGGAAATTCGGTTTTCGAATGGCATAAACGAAGAATTCGTCAGATGGCGCCAAATGAAGAAAATCTTCCTCGGTCCATTCAGACAACCAATCGCACAACCAAAGCCGATCTTGAACGTGTGTTTGAGTTTTCAATGGTTTGCAAATGACGTGGAATGGCTTCAAACCTTCTCGTTCTCGATATCGGCCGATTGTCCTTTGATCAACTCGTTTTCCACGAATTTGAAGGATTTCTTGGGCCACTTTTCGGTTTCCTTTTCGTTGTTTGCGACTGCCAGTTGCAATGATGGCTTTGCTTTCTTGGGACAGTTGCAGAGGACGCCCTTCTCCAAATTTTGTGAAACATTCTTGGGCTGTTTTGTTCCAATTATCAGTAACCCAATCCGGATGACGTTTCAATTTGTTTGCAATCCATTTTCGATTGATAAACGTCGCTCCAGCATCGCGAGCCTCTCGAAAGGCAATGCATTTTATTCTGTCAATGATCCTTTGTTCTTCCGAATCGAATTTTCCAGCCATTCTTAAAGCAAATTTAACATTTAATAGCTCATTCAATTCAGTTTTTTATGGGCTTTAAAATGAGGTGTCGCGGAAGTTGTAAACTGCTGTCGATCTTGCTGTGACCCCCTAGGAAAAGGTTATGCCCCGCCCTGTAGAGCCAGAGGATAAAGAAAATGGAAATTGAAGGCTTTGGAATATCTCCACATAGGTTTTTTGACAAAATCGTTGAAATGTTTGATAAAATTGACAAAGCATAATAAAGCTAGATATCTATGAAAATAATTTGAACGGGAACTTAAATGTAATGGAAATAGATCTGATGACTTATTCCCTAAAGGAGATAAACAGATGCTAAACCGGAAACTGATTTGGACTTTTTCTTCTGGATATAAAAGAACTCTGCTAAGATTAGGAAAGACTTTTTTTAGAAGTGACAAAGGGATACTTTACTAATTGATACAAAAAATATGTTAAGTTCTGAAGAATTTTCACTTTGAAGCACAAATGATAGGACAAACTCTAGGACTTTTTTTGAAGGAGTTAAAGTATAATTTTAAAAACTTAGAAAAGGTTTGCAAAATTGGCTTATTATTGTTAAAAATAGCTATATCTGTTTCCCTTTACTGGACTTTTGATGACAAAAGATTTATTGACCTAGAATTTGGATTTTATTTTCTTTATTTAAGAGATATGCTTTGGGGGAAAGAGAGATTATGTTTTATTTAGACAGTGCAGCGCTACCAAAATTGTTTTTATCTGCTAGGATGAACAGGGAAGTTACCATACTTTTCGGTCTATAAGACACACTCCCCCCACCAAAAAAGGGGGTGGAAATCTCTGTGCGTCTTATAGAGCAAATGTTACCAAAGCCCTCCTACCTGCCACCCTCCACCCTTCAGCCTCTTCCTCCCAGCAATTTGCCTCCTTGCAGCAAAGAGCAAATAGCCTGATCAGCTTCAGCACAACCTGACTTAGCTTGAGCAGTTGATTGCCAGTTGGATGGCCTCCCGGAATACCACCAATCAGCTGTTCCAGGCTGTGGAGATTGCCTATCATTGCCTCCGCACACCGTATTTTTGGCCTCTGCATACCCCATTTTCGGCCCATTCCAGATAGTGGGGATCTCCACCACCTATTGCCACTGAATGGCAGTGGTGATCCCTGCCTCCTGGAATGGCCCGAAAACCAGATGTGTGGAGGCTGAAAACTGGGTGTGCGGAGGCTGAAAATGGGGCATGGAGGTGGAGGTGGCAGTGATCTCCGCAGCCTGGAACAGCCGATCAGCGATATTCCGGGAGGCCGATCCAACCGGAAATCAGCTGCTTGTGCTAAATCAGGCTGTGCTGAACCTGACCAGGCTGTTTGCTGCAAGGAGGCAAATTGCTGGGAGGCAGAGGCAGATTTTGTTTTCTTGTTTTCCTCTCCAAAAGCTAGCTGTGTCTTATGGTCCAGAGCATTTTATAGTGCAAAAAAATATGGTACTTATTTTCTTTTCTTTCTTTTCCCTTTTCACACCCCTCATTTTTTCCCTTGTACTTTTTTCTTTTTATATTTTGTATTGATTTTTATTTTTTATTTATAATTCTTAATAAAAATACTTGAAAAATGTATTTTGTTCAGGTATACTCAGGTTTTAAATGTTACTTAGAAATACAGTGTACTCATGAAGTATTCAGATACCCTTCACTTTTGTCAATTTTATTATGCTGCAGCTTGATTCTATTGTTGTTGAAATTCATTTTTTCTCATTAATCTACACTCAGTGTCTGATAATGATAAAGTGAAAACATTTTAGAAATGTCTGTTAATTTATTAAAAAGAAAAAACTGAAATATTACATTGGCATAAGTATTCAGAACCTTCATTCTTTGATACTTCGTTGAAGCATCTTTGGGAGCAATCACAGCCTAGAGCCTTTTTTGGTGTCATGCAACAAGTGTTGCATACCTGGATTAGGAGAGTTTCTGCCAGTCTTCCTTGCAAATCTTCTCAAACTCAGTCAGGTTGGATGGCGACTGTTGGTGGGTAGCCATTTTCAGGTCCCTCCAGAGATGGTCAATAGGGTTCAAGTAAGGGCTCTCGCTGGGCCACTCTAGGACATTTAGAGTTGTCCCTAAGCCACTCCTGCATTGTCTTGGCTGTGTGCTTAGGATCGTTGTCATGTTGGAAAGTTAACCTTCAGTGCAGACTGAGGTCCTGAGCACTGTGGAACAGGTTTTCATTGAGGATATCCCTGTACTTTCCATCATTCAGCTTTCCCTCAACCCTGACCAGTCTCCCAGTCCCTGCTGCTGAAAAACAACAAAGCTTCACTGTTGGGGATGATATTGGGCAGTTGATGAGAGGTAGCTCGTTTCTTCCATACGATACCAGAGAATAAACATTTCTGACAGTTCAAAAAAATCAGTGACCAATACAGACCAATACCAGTGACCTATTGACTATTTGCAACAAAAACATTTGATGGTTCTGTGATCACACCCCAATATCTTAGCAATTTCAAGAGTGCTGCATCCCTCTGAAAGACTTTTTACAACTTTTGACTTTTCAGAATTAAATCTCTTTTTAGCCCATTTTGTCTGAGGAAAAGAAGTTGCTTAATAATTATGCATACCTTGATATAGGATGTTGATCTCCTTAGTGTAATGAAGATCTCCCTCATTACACAAATACACATCACCTGATCTGCTTATAAGCATTTAAGTTTATAGCTTGGAGGTGGAAAATATGCATACAAAGGATGATATGGTCAAAATACTCACTTGCCTAATAATTGTGCCTTCAGTGTAGGTTTGATCAGACCAGAGAATCTTACTCCTTACAGTATGAGAGATCTTCAAGTGCTTTTTTGCAAACTCCAAGTAGACTTTCATGAAGCGAGGAGAGGCTTCCATCTAGACACTTTGCCATAAAGTCCAAACTGGTGGAGGGGCTACAGTGATGGTTATTCTTCTTGAACTCTGTCTCATTTCCACACAGGATCTCTAGAGCTCATTGAGTTATTAGTCTTCTCTCTTACTAAGGCCTTTCTTCCTCTATTGCTGAGTTTGACCAGGTGACTAGCTGTCAAAAGAGTCCTGGTTGTGCCAAACTTCTTTCATTTCAGAATTATGTAGGCCACTGTGCTCCTAGGAATCTTCAGTGCAGCAGAAATTCTATTGTAGCTGTCCCTAGATCTGTACCTTGCAATAATTCTGCCTCTGAGCTCTGCAGGCAATTGCTTTGACCTTATGGCTCTTGTTCTGCTACAGTTTGCATTGTTAGCTGTGAGGCCTTCTATAGAAAGGTGTGTGCCTTTCCAAATCATGTCCAATCAATTTAATTTACCACAGGTGGACTTCAGAAAGATGTCAGCAACAATCAAGAGAAATGGGAGGCACAAGAGCTAAATTGCAAATGTTGTTCCAAAGGGTCTGAACATTTATGCCAATGTGATATTTTTGATATTCAAATTTCTAGGTTCTATAATATCTCAAGACCTAAAATAGACCCCTAACATCAAAAACGTCATCAAAAAAGCACAACAAAGAATGTTCTTTCTGTGCTAATTCAGGAGCTGCCCAAGGAGCTGCTGATACAGTTCTACAGAGCAATTATTGAGTCTGTCCTCTGCACCTCTATAACTGTGTGGTTTGGTTCTGCAACCCAACAAGAGAGACACAGACTTCAGTGGATAATCAGAACTGCAGAAAAAACAATTACTGCCAACCTGCCTTCCATTGAGGACCTGTACACTGCATGAGTCAAAAAGAGGGCTGTGAAAATATTTACAGACCCCTCGCATCCTGGACATATATTGTTTCAACTCTTACCCTCAAAACGACGCTATAGAGCACGGCACACCAAGACAACTAGACACAGGAACAGTTTTTTCCTGAACACTGCTAAACAAATAATTCCCTCACCACTGTCAAACCATTCACTAAGGCTGCATTACTATTACTATTAGTCCTCTCATCGTTCCTATCATTCATCTCCTCCTACTTATGATTGCAGAACTGTAACTTGTTGCTTGTATCCTTACGATTGATATTGATTTTGACTGTTTCCTGATTGCTTACTTGTATCCTATGACTTTTATTAAGTGTTATACCTTATGATTCCTGCTGAATGTATCTTTTCTTTTATGTACACTGAGAACATATGCACCAAAGATAAATTCCTTGTGTGTCCAATCGCACTTGGCCAATAAAGAATTATATTCCATTCCATATTTCAGGGTTTTCTTTCTTTTTAATAAATTTACAGACATTTTTAAAATTCCGTCTTCACTGAGTGTAGATTAATTAGAAAAAAAATGAATTTCAACAACTGTAGAATCAGGCATAACAAAACTGACAAAGTTGAAGGGGGTCTGAGTACTTTCTGAATGCACTGTATACTTGCATTGTTAAAATACTAGTTTTTGTAAAAGAGGATGAATAAGTTTCATTCAGTAACTTAATGCACATCTTGTCTAGGATTGTGTGCTCTACCTGCTTCGTCATCCATGGCAGACTCCCTCATCCTTTCATTTCCGGAGAACCTTGAGTGAATCTTTGAGGGAGATAGGCAGTTCAGAAATGTGAAACATAAATAATTTGTATACGTATCTTTTTTGCCTTCAAATCAGTCTTTATTCCTGGATACGTCTGTACAGTTTTCTCAGCAAAATTTCAGAAGTGGTTTATCACTGCCTGCTACCTAAAAGCTGAGAAACAATGACTGGCCCGAGGCCACCCTGTTGGCTTTGTGCTGAAGGTGGTACTAGAACTCATGAACTCCCCGTTTCTATCTTGATGCTTTAACCAGTACACCAAACAGGTTCTCATATGCATCAATACTAATTTATTATTAGAATTTTGGGTTTTTGACTTTTCTTAGATCCCTGTAATAGCCACTTGTGGAACACTACTTCTGTGAAATAAAAAGGTTAAGACCAGAAAAAAAAGTTTATTGTGACATCTATGTTGTGGAACAAGCTTTTTCTAAAAGTTAAATGGGCCTCCTTTGTATCAGCTTTCTGGAAGCTCTTCCAGAGGGCTTTTAAAAAATAACCATTTGCCTTTTTTCTTAAGTTTTATTTTTTTAGTATTTAATTATAGCTAACAGTATTATCGATCTGTATTTGTGTATAATGTAGTGTTATTTTGTCTTATTGGGTAAACTTTTATTGTATTTAGGAGTCTTTTTAAGACTTGGCAACACACAAATTTCATAAATAAAATTTGAAACCAGTTTTGAAATAAACTGAAGTTGACTATGATAAATATTAACCATCATAAAACCACTATACTGTTTTATACATAACACTTATCTATAATTTGGTTTGTTTATTTTTGGTTTGATGTGAAAAGTAGTTGGAAGCAGTCCACTTAGTTAATCATGATTTAGTCTTTGTTTAGTGCTGTTTGTGAATGCAGTATTCATCAAGCCAACACAATGAGGAAGCTGGCAAGGAAAGTTGCAAATTGCTCCATTAAGTTGCTCCTGATTTTTCACCTGCCTGCAGCATCTCCCCCACCCATAACAGCCTCTGCTGGCTCTTCCTGCCTTCTGTGAGATATTGGCAATCTGACTGCCCTTTACCCTGATGCATGCATGGTCTGTATTGGTTCTCCTCAGTCTTCACAACTTAGGTGTGATCTGTGCTATCCCTCCTAGGCCTCCTGCATGGCTTGTGCCAGCTTTCTCAGGCCCTCCTCCCTTCCTGCCCTCCTTAGGTGGGACTCCCATCTCTTCCAGCTTAATGACCCACATATTTTTAGGTTACAACAGCAACCCAAACTTCTCAGGACTGCTGTCGTAACCCACGAACTACCTGCATTATTATTATTATTTGCAACAGCTGCATGGAATAAAACGGCAAAGGCAACACTGTTATAAATCTGCTGCATTAACCACAGTTTACAAAGCATGGCAACACAAAGAGAAATAAAATAAAGCAAATAACTTATCAGAAAATCTGATATTCCTATATAAAAGAATTACCCATGGTTGAGGAACAGACGTAACTTCAGGAGTGTGAAAATAAGCTACTCCATTATGGTAAGTGTATGGATATCCAGTTGAAGTTGTTAAGTACATTGTTCCAGCTGCTGGCATTATACTGGAACCTGAAATAATGACAGAATAAAAATTTGTATCTTTTTATTTTATCATTTTGTGCTCTTAGAATAACAAGTATTTAGTTAGTAAAAATCAGATATATAACATGTGTAAGTTTGAAAATTTGGCGACAAAATAATTAATCAGACATGGAGGCGTCTATTAAATTTCCTAAACAGGAATTTTAAGTGCACACAAATCGTTTTATAGGTAGGATTTTATTGATGGAACAGAGAATTAGAGTGGTAATTTTCCTAGAGTCAATCAGTTTGGTGGCTATAACAAATCTAAGTCTAAGTCTAAATCTGCATCATGAGTAACAGGAAAACTCTGTACAGAACTTAGAATATAATTCTAAATTAGGCAATAGTGATAAACCGGTAGTCCCTGACTTAAAACTACAATTGGGATGGGAATTTGTTGCTAAGCAAGGCAGTGATAAAGCACATCACATGACTACATCACTTAGCAATGAGGATTTTATACTCGACATTGCCACATTAATTGAATTCTGTGGGTCATTAGCTAAGGACCTGCCCCAATCCAAGCTAATCTAGGCTTCACTTTCAAGGGACATACAACAGGTCCTGGTACTTGCAGCCATTGCAGCACCGCCCAGTCACATAATTGTGATTTCAATCAGCTTGCAATTAAGTTGCAGTGTCCTGTGGTCACATGACTACCATTTGCAACATTCACTGCCAACTCTGGACACCCAAAACCAATGGGGAAATCAGGAGAGGGTGCAAATGGTGATCATGTGACTGAGATGCTGTGACTGTATGGGAATTAGGTGACAGTAGCAAATGGGATTACTGGAACTCCTATAGTAAATCAGTGCAGTCATGTGATGTCACGCTTTACAACTGTGTTACTTAAGTGACAGAATTCCTGGTCCCAATTATGGTTAGTAAGCAAGGCCTATCTGTAGAACATTATTTCACCACAATGCAAATGAAATATTTATTGTCTTTAGCATTTGCCTGGGAGAAGTGTGTGTCTAAAAATTTTCCGTGGTCAACAGGTTCCACTTCAGGCAAATTTCAAAGTTTTATAATATCTCTTTATCAGGTTGAAGGGAAATATTGTGGTTGTCCCTTAGCAATTTGAATGGCTGAAAGTGAAGAGAAAAGAGTAGTAGGTGGAGAAGTTACAGAGAAATAACCCTCATGTGGCCAGACTGAATGCCACATGGAGAGATTCTAGATTGTTGATGTAACATGAATAAATAGGGTGAACCAGAAGGCTCATGTGCAGCAAATAGTCTCTTGATTCTAGTAGCTTAATGGTTATGTCTAGTGCTCTGCTTGAAAGGGATTTCACTGCAGCCTGGGCAAAGAGGGAGATAAAACAAATACATACGAGGAATCCCTACTTGTTGTTTTCTTATTGCTGGACCAATGTTCAGTTTCTTATCTTTATAATTTAATTTTTCAGCCTAAACAAAACAAAGGAAATGTGTTATTTATACTACTTACTTCTAAATCTTGTTTTACAAAATGTTTACAAGCAATCCAACATTTTTTTTCAGATATTTATTTCAATAAATATCTTACAAAAAATCTCTTGCAATTTTTGGGGGGGATGCTTGGTTACTATTACAATTCTTTTGTTCAAATAATTAATATTACTATATAAGGATTTTGAGAATGTAAAATTCAAAAGATATGAATTCAAAATATAAAACAATCCCTAGATTTCCCCACCCCCCCCTTACATTTTCTTCAGGGTACTGACTTTAAATTATAAACCCCTTAATATCTTGGAACCAAGGGTTTTGAAGGACCAGGAATGCCTATTTCTCTATGTTCCTTTGACTAAAATAAAATTGTGTTGGGGGGGGGGGTATTTGACATGCCATATCATGTTAAGCATTTGATAGCTATCCAAAAGTAGCTTTCTTCAAGTAATTGCCTGTTGCCTCTAGTCCTGGGTCTAGGACAATTTGCCATGGCCAACTTGCCACTGTAACTTGCTACAGCCAACTCATCATGGCCAACTCGCAGTGTGACAATTCAACACTGTATTAATTGTTTCGTTCAGTTATTTTTATTATTGGTGACCACGTTTTCTTCAAAATTATTACTACCTCATATATTTCTGGATTGATTTTATTTTATTAATATTGGCTACGATTCCATCAAAATTAACATTGTATTTGTTGAATTGTCCCATAGTGAGTTGTCCTGTAGTCGTGGCGAGTTGTATCATTCTGCTAGCCCTTCCCAATAAGGTAAGACATTGTCTGTCATCTTTATTTTTTTCTGTGCCATGTAAAAGCAATTTCAAACTTCTAGGTCTCCTGCTGTGATTTTTAACTTTCTACTGGACAATCAGTGCCCACTGGGTCATTACCAGAGTTATTTTCTTACCTAATGATCATAGGAGGGCAAAAAAGCAGTGGGAGTGACTTCCAACTTCCTGCTGGCTTCCCCATTGAATCATTGTGGGAAGCTAGAAGGGAGCATCAGAAAACTTCTACCCTCCCTTAATTGCCATGGATACATTGACTGGAAACGAAGACAGCTTAAAAAAATCTTTTTGCACATTTCAATCCATTTCTCTGCTTTTGAACATCCCATCCCTATAACACAATGCCCATGAGCATAAGAGTAGTCCAAATGTCTATGGTATCTGAAAAAGACCCTCTGTATCTCCTGTAAGTAACTTGCACAATTCTCTCTTGTACCATAGCTTTAATATTGATTATATATTATGGCAGCTATTTTTTGATGGTGTCTACCAAATCTGAAAAAATAATGTTCCTACAGACTTCAAATAACGATCTTCACAAGTATGTAAACATGAGAAGATTACTACTATCTACATATATAAAATAAAATAATCATTTACCTCTTGTAAAATTTTTTGTGCATCTTCCTGAGTTTCAAATGTGACAAACCCGTACCTAAGTAAAATAACAGAAATTATTTTCCTTAAAGTACATTATACATGCATTCTTTCAAAATGTTAATGTGTTGTCTGAGAATTTTGAGACATTTTGTAGTTATAAAAAAGGAATGTGAAGCAACAAAGTGTTTGTTTCAGCCCATCTAATGAGAACAAGGCTTTTAAAAAACATTTACCCCAAAGAGAAAACAGATTATGACCTTCTAAAAGAAACATATTACTTCCATGTGTTTATAGTATTTATAGAAGAAAAAGTTTAAGCCACAGGCCTAAAACAGTGCCCCCAAAACAAATTCTTATTAATAGAAAATAACACTATCTCATAGTAACGATTCTTCCTATGTTAATCAAAACAGAATTCTAGAAGTTAAGAACCACAGCACTTTACATGTGGAATTGAAAAGTGAAGATTTTGCTGTAACTCTAGCTTGACAATAGACATATACCCAAGTAAGGCTTATGTGAGACAAAAGCAATAATCAATAAAACTCAGAATGGTATGCAAATAAAACTACCATAAATGCTAATATAAACTTACACCCTTAATGCTTTGGTTAGGTTGTACATGTTTTTGTTTGTCCTTTTTAAAAAATGTGTGATTTCTGGAACTGTTCTGATTTACATTAGGACAGTGTAGCAATATTTGATTCTAGGTCAAATTTCCAAATTCACTAATGCTGAAGAAAAATACATTCAATATAAACTGAAGCTGTAATTAGCATAAAAGATATCCTTCTGGAATTACTTTCAATAAAATGAATCTATTTTTCAAACTGAGAATTCTTTCATTTCAATTTGCTATTTTTATGAAACTTTGCATTGAAATATATGTATCTGCCAACTATAATGATTTTTAAAATAAGGTTTCAAGTGAAGAAATAATTTATTTGCATAAAATGACATATAGCTTTTCAGTGGGATTTGTATAGATGAATAGGATGCTTATTTTTAACTATGATATAATTCTTGATACAGTTGAATGGCTGTAGTGAATTCCAAATGAAAACCATGCAGCTGAAGTTCTTTTCCTTGATTCTTTGAACCAATTATGCTTTACATCATATTCTAAATAAAAGAAAAGTAGGACTGTAACCAATCAATAATAGAAAATAAGTTTATTTGTCCAAAATCTTCACGTGCTCCTAGCAGGGTGGCAAGTTATAGTAATAAATGAATATGCCTATGTATCTCAATAAAAGTATAAAGAAATACCACATAGGCAGGTATGAGTATAGCTGTAGAAATAAACAAGTGAAATGAAGCACCTTCTGATAAAGATGTACTTGTGATCAGTACAAAGAAAGTATCTATCACAGAAATAAAAATAATTACCTAGAATTTGAGCCTAAATAAAAGGAAAGAGCTTGAAATGCAATGTGGGTGAACGTTTTGCCTTGTGAGACAATTTACTTATATAGCTAGTCCTTGTTTAGCAACCACAATTGGAAACAGGATCTTGATCATTAAGCGAAGTTAGGTGAAGCCTTTGACTGTGCTTATGATCTTACTTCAGTTTTCCTTTACTTTATAGACCTGCAAAGGTTGTAAATTACTTTTTCATCACTGTTGTAACTGCTGTTACTAAACAAGGAAGTTGTTAAAGGGATGGAGAGAGAAGACTATTTGCAAAGGATGAGACTGTCCTCATCTATTTAGTACAGTAATGGAAATAGAAATTAGCACTCTTTACATAGCTGTTACTGGTGTTATTGTACCCTTCCTATGAAAAGATTGTACCAAAGAAGAGACAATTAAAAGATATAGCCATTATATGGTTATTTGCAACAACAATGAGCTATTATTTTATCTGCCTGAACATTGTAAAAGGATATGAGATGTCTAAAAATAATGTCCATGTAAGCTAGCTTGGTGAATCAAATATATTTCTTTCTGGGATCAATTTTGTTCTCCATTGATTGAGTGTAGGAAACCTCTACAATTCTGCAAAACAACAGTATTTTTCTAGAAATATTTTGGAAGCATTCAGTCATATGGGAGTGTGATCTGTAATACTTCTAATTATTCAAGAAAATAGACCTGTGGTAACACCTATTACAGGCAGTATGTTTAGTTTGGAATATCATTTCAATATCTTCAAACTGAATAATGAAGATTGAAGAGTAAATCTGTGAATATTTCTACTAAATCTAGAAGATGATAGCCAACACTTTAGGAACAGATTAGATTGGAAACAGAAACCATAGCTGATGAAACTACCAATATATATTTTTACTAAGAAACTTAACACTGTTTAAACTTTAAACTTATTTCCAGATAATTTGCTTACAGAATTATAGGACTTTTATACCATGTTCTTAATTTTTGGAAGACTATATACGGTCTCTCATCAATATATTAACTTAATAAATGTTTTACTTTACTAACCCTTTTGATACTCCAGCTCTGTCATTTACTATTTTTACTTCTTTTACACAGCCGTATTGGGAAAAAAATTTCCTCAGGTCATTCTCGTTAGTCTATTAAAATAAATAAAAGGGGGAGTGGGAAGAGAGAAAGAATAAGACTGTATCTTATAATACTAGTAAATCTAGTTAAAATACAATTATCACTTAATAATGACATTCTTTTAATAACTGGCATGTTTGTTCAATCAAAACTAATTTCAATCTATCCATTTATACACTATTTTGAAAGTTACATTACTTTCCAATTATATTCTTCAGCAGTTTGTACAATAAGGATACCTACAGTCTTTTCTAAAGTGGACCAATTGTTCTAGACTTATCTATATTGTATATAATTTCCACTTCCATCTCCTATGGTATTCTGAAATGTGTTTTTTTTTAAAAAAGGGAAATAATAAAAGGAGAGAAAATTCAGCAGTTTCTTTGGATATATTGGCATGCCTGATAATGGTTTTCAAGACCATTTTCCAGAAAATCTACTCTGAAAAGACACACAAAGAAGTGTTATTACAGGAAATAAAATGAGAAGGATTCAACTTTTTAAAAAAATGAATCACTTTGGAAGCGTTTTGTAAAAACAAAGTGCTAAACAGGATACAACAAATAGCAATAGCACTGAGACTTACATACTACTTCATAATACTTTACAGTCCTCTCTAAACAGTTTGCAGTCAGCATATTGAACCCAACAATATAGGTCCTCATTTTACCGACCTCGGAAGGAGAATGGAACAGCTGGCAGTCGGCAGAATTAGCCTGCAATACTGCATTCTAACCACAGTGCCATGATGGCTCTCTCTATAAATTGAATAATATATTTAAGAGTTAATATTTCATTATTAGCACTTTTAAGTTTTTAATGCTGGGTGCATATTTAGATATTTTACTAAGCTATGATGGAAGGGAATATATTTTCAAATATGTATGTTTTCTGTAGTGTCTAAGAATATAGATATTTTTGCTTTTGCTCTTAATTAATTGCAACACTGGCCTTTGAATAGATTGGAAGTGGCTAGTATACACTTCTCTCAACATACATCTTCTCATTCATAATTGCTTATAGGGAAAAATGCACACTTTTCCATAGAAAAGTGTCAATAGAAGGTCCTGTGGATGAAAGCAGTGAGAGGACGTTACCTGGATATTTTCAAGGATACTACTTGGATATTTTCAAACTCAAGGTGAATAATTTGAAAAACTAAAAAGTGAAATACTTCTGAGTGAATTTATGGGTGAATGAAAGATTTAAAAAACAGTAAAAAAAAAAGGTAGAACTATTAGAGAGCATGGCTAATAAGTTAGGATGATTCCCTACTCTCTATCTTCACAAAGACACTAGTAAATTTGTTCTGGACAATCCCAAGCCTACTGAAATAGAGTGGGAGACTGGAATCTACTATAATGACAATACCATTTTATTAGACAGCAACAAAGGGATGAGAAGGGGGAGACGTAACACTTATTTTCTGTATCTACCAGACAATAAAATGATAAGAATAAATTCTTAGATATATGTAACAATATAAAAACAATTCTATTACAATAAAAGTTGGACTGTTATTCAGTCATCCAAATTACCTTAAAATCAATTCCTCCAACAAAGATTCGATTAGGAATAACTGTTCCAAACCTTGGGGCACTGGTGGTGTTATTTAAAGGCACCAGCGACACAGTCTTAGGAGATGGAGACAAAGAATCAGTTTGCATCTGATTTGCAGTTTGCTGTTTAAAAGAACATATTCTTGTTAAATATATTTTCAATCTAATATATTATGGATTTTCAAAAAATTAAAATGAGGGAAAAAAACAAACAAGTTATAATCATTTCTAGGGAATGGAAGCATTTTTACTTTAATCCAGAAGTAATTTAATGCTACAATACCAAAAGTTTATCTCTTGTATTATGTTTTCATATACAGGTAGTCCCTCAGTTACGTGCCCTTCTGTGCCTTTTCTTGCCGGCAAACTTAGGCCTGTTCTGTGTGACTGCACTGAAAGCCTGAAGCAATGAAACAGGCAAAGAAACCGGGACAGAGAGATCTTTGCAAGATAAGTGAGTCTCCACAGGCAAGTGTCTGTGAAGACCCAGCAGAGGGGGCGGGGGGGGGGGGATAGGCAGGGTGAATGTTGCAGAGCCTCTGTGGTAATTTGTAAGAGCAAACAACTGCCATGGTGCTGCAACATTCGTAATTTTGGGACTTTTTTATAAAAGCTAGGGGGTGCTAACTTTGAACATTTGCTAAGAGAATGCTCATAATCTGGGGATTACCTGTACTGAACTCTTAATTCTATAAAGTTCTAAAAGTTATTATTTTATAAGTGTATTAAATATTGTCTTAAGTTAAAAGAATAAAGTTCTTTAAAAAAATATGTATGAACATTATGCCTGCTTTATTAAATAGGATATTTGTATCCTCTCTTTTCTTAGAACAGTTCATCTGTACAATGAAACTTACATTTAACCTAGAAAGTAAAACACTAATTTAAAATAAAAATTTGAATTCCTCATAATTAAATTGTACATTAAACACATTTTTCATTTAGCTTTTAAAAAATATCTCATTACTTAAGCTATACATTTCAAATTGTTTCGGAAGAGTTCCACTGCATAAAAATGAAGTTATATGAAATCAGATATCTGACAAATAGTTAATATCATATATATATGCTTTTTTAAACAGGGATAAAATAACAACAATGGAGAGAACTCTATCTATCTGAGAAAGAGCTTATTTACTATTAGAATGGGTCCCAGACTTTTGATAATTTTTAATAAATCAATTTGCATGTTTTCTCATTTATAATGCTTGCTTCTAAACTTATTTCAAAATACTGTATGTAAAGTAACAAAAATATTTTTTAAACCTTCCAACATCAATGAATAACTTGTTGAAACACTATGAAATTACAATAGTATTATCAAATAAGAAGATATTTTTAAAAGTTTTATCATTTTACAGACTGTTATATAATTATATTTCATATTTCTGTTTGTTTTGAAATATTTGGCATTATATATAACACTGTGAAATTGACAAAACTATATAAACACATGGATTCAAAGTTTCCATACAATATAATTCAAGTAATACTGAATATACATATAGTATTGGTTTACATATGATTGGGTATATTTTTGGCAAATGAGTGGATTCTTCTAATTAACTATAGATCATCAGTAGTTGCTTTAATGAGGAAGCCTTACTTATTTTTTTTTTGAAGGGACACACCTTTGTAATATACTGTTTGGGATCAAGTCTGACATAATAAAATAGAGGTTCTCCTTACAAATTACACATTGATCATAGAGGTCTATTTGTATATATGATCATTCCTATCACATACAGAAGAATATGTCTACTTTGCTTGCTATGAACACGACAAATTCAAATGTTTCTGAAGCATAAGGTGAGAGAAGGGCTATTTCACAATGTATTTTAAATGCATGGTAAACAGTTTAAAAAGCATTGAATTCAGTAGGATGATAATGACAGACATGATGAAAAGATAAATATTGCTGTGGTTTTTACTTTCTCATTTATTTCTTTTACAATGGCAAACAATTGTACTAGAATGGTTCTCGTAAGAAACTAATAAATTCTACACTACTGTTTCCGGATTCTGTTAGTAGTTTTCCAATTGGTATGCTTGGTGACTGAACCATACATTTCTTTTCCACCAACAAGATCAAACCAGTTTCCAGATACAACTTAATAGGATATAGGGTCTTGATTAGTAGGAACAATAAAACTAGTAGGAAAAAACTGACAGAATTATATATTAGACCTTATTATCCACTCTATGCTGTGATTATGCCAAAGACGTTCTTTCCTATCTAGGGCATTTGCAATGTAATCTGCAAAGCAACGCTGTCTCAGACAGTAAGTGGTTTATTACAATCAGAACTGAATTGGAACAGGTTCTACCTTAAGTGAATTGTTAGCAGATTGTTCAGCAGATATTTGAAGAAAAAATCAGCAATATTCATCATGACTCCATACACATTGTAGCTCTATTATTGGAGACAATGAACTATTCAGTCCACATTTTGAGTATTAAAACCTAAAAATGCAATCAGGAATCTGATTACTTGAGGACTTATAGGGAAGAAATGGCAAACTGAAGCAGAGTTGTTAACTTCAATAGAATGAAGAACCACCATGTAGATCCGCTTTTTACAATTCTTCTCGGGTCAAGGAGGGGGCTTGAAATCGCCCACAAGTGCTCCATAGTGCTACTCTTCATGAGGAGAATATAAGACACCAGCATCTGGTGGGGGAGGGAGGGAAGGAACATTGGTCTTACCTGAGACATTCTTTCTCCGTGTGCTGCGGGAGAAGCCAAGCATGGGTTAATTTCCGCCAATTTGCTCAGAGACTGACTTAGAAAACAATTCTTGACCACGCCTCCTCTGATCAACTGAGCTCAGTTTTTTCAACAATGGTGCAGCCGTTCAGTAAAGATGGAATCATTGAAGGTAAAAATCCTCTCCTGGCCCTGGACCAGATGGATCATAAGGGCAGGTTTGGATTCTCCTGCAGTGCACAGGGAAAGAACATCTCAGGAAAGACCAACGTTCCTTCATCTGTGCGCAAGCATGGGATATACCCAAGCTTAATGTTTCAAGGGCAGCAAATAGACTGGTCCAGGGTCCCGAAAGCCAAATGAACCATCTGTAGCACTCACCACCCGAAAGACACCTCAGTCGAGGTGAATATGTCCAGTTTGTAATTTTTCATGAAGGGCGAGCGGGAAGACCACATCGTCGCTCTGCAAATCTCTTTGATTGAAGCTTGCGTAGCCCATGAGGCCATTGTGGCAGCACTCCTGGTTGAGTGTGCCTAGACACCGGTCTGGCCTGAAGTTCATAGGCTTTGGCTAAGCAAGCCTTTAACCACCAGCCTACGGTGGATGGAATCATTTTCTTTCCCATGGATGCCAGTTAAAAGGAAAAGAACAGGGATTCCATCTTTTGGAAGGAAGTTGTTTGCTTGATGTACCTACGAAGAGCCCTCCTGACATCCAGATGGTGCCATTTCCTCTCTAGAGGGTGAGTAGGCTGTGGACAGAAGTCCGGGAGAATAATTTCCTGGGCCCTATGGAACCAGGAGTTTACTTTAGGAAGGAAAGAGGGATCCAGCCATAGTACAATTCTGTCCAGGTGGAAGATGCAAAGATCCCTGCAGACCGATAGAACTGCCAGTTCCAAGATCCTCCTTGTCAAGGTAATGCCCACGATGAAGGCGATCTTGAAAGTCAATAGACAAAGGCTGATTGTCCGCAATGGCCTGAACGATGTAGAGTTGATGGCTTGCAACACTATGGCCAAGTGGGGTAGCAAAGAACCACAGGAGGCCTCAGGTTGGATGCCCCCCCTCAGGAAACTGCGTACCCTTGGATAATGAGCAAGGGTATGGCTATCTCCACCTGCCAGAACCGTGGATAAGGCGGTCACCTGCCTGCAGAGAGTGTTGGGGGACAAACCCTTGTCCAACCCCTCCTGCAAGAAGTCCAGATCTGCGGAATCGATGCTGAGAGAGGATTGATATGATCAATGTGGCACCATCTGCAAAAAACAATCCAGGTGGCATTATACATTTGAATAGTGAAAGATTTTCTGGCTGCCTGGATAGTTTGAATGACCTTCCTGGAAAATTTATCCCTTCTTAGGATGTCTCTTTCAAGTGCCAGACGGCTAACTGGAGCCAATGAGGCTCCGGATGGAGGAGTGTCCCCTGGCTGAGGGATATCCTGTTGTCAGGAATTCTCCAGGGCAGGATACTAAGAGGTTGACCAGGTCTGCATACCAGGGGTATCTGGTCCAATGAGGAGCTAGCACCTTCCAGATGACCCTCAGGATGAGGGGAAGGGGAGGCGTACAACAATCCCTGAGGCCACGGGCAGCGGAGAGTGTTGACTCCCTCTGCCCCTGGCAAAAAACCTCAGTAGTTGAGTGTTTGTCGGATGAGTGAAGTTCACTGTCAGTTGTCCAAATCTCTGGGACAGATCCTTGAACAGGTCCGGGTGAAGGCGTCACTCTGAATGGTCCAAGGTGGACCTGCTCAACCAATCTGCCTGCAAGTTTGTGAGCCCGGATATATGCTCCGTCCTGATGGAAAGGGTGTGCATCTCCACCCATAGACCCAGTCTCTCTGCTTCGAGCATTAGGGATCGGAAGTGGGTGCCCCCCTGGTGGTTGATACGGGCCTTTCTGGCCACACTGTCAGTGAGGATCAAGACATGGAGGCCTGTTACCAGTTCCTGGAAATGCCAAAGTGCTAGGTGGGTGGCCAAGAGCTCCAACCAGTTTGTATTGTTCAATGGCTCTTGTGGGCTCCATTGTTCCTGCGCCACCTGAGTCTCTGGTTCTCTGAACAAACACCCTTTTGCAGATCAGGGAATGTCCACCATTTTAGTTGGAGAAGCACCTTCGGTGGCCGAACCCTGCTGTTGGAGCTGCTGCCGCCGGTCTGCTGATATGGGAGCAGAAACCACTGCATGGTCCACAGGTGCAGCCGTGCCCAGGTAATGATGTCTAGGCAGGAAATCATTTTCCCCAAGAGTTAGGAAAGAACCGTCAAAGGAACTGACCGCTGTGTCCGAAGTTGGTTTACTAGTGACCAGATGCTGAAATGCCATTCCTGGGAGAGGTAGGTCTTGGTATTTATCTCTGCCGCCAGGTGGAGAAGACTAGTGGAAGGCTCTCCTCCCCTTGA